GTTAACATGTTAAAATATACTAGCAACATGCTAAATCATGTTAAAACATGCTAGCATTATGTTAAAACAAGCATTTTTTAGCAACAAGCTAAAACATGTTAACATGTTAAAATATACTAGCAACATGCTAAATCATGTTAAAACATGCTAGCATTATGTTAAAACAAGCATTTTTTAGCAACAAGCTAAAACATGTTAACATGTTAAAATATACTAGCAACATGCTAAATCATGTTAAAACATGCTAGCATTATGTTAAAACAAGCATTTTTTAGCAACAAGCTAAAACATGTTAACATGTTAAAATATACTAGCAACATGCTAAAACATGTTAAAACATAATAGCATTGTTAAAACAAGCATTTTTAACAAGCTAAAACATGTTAACATGTTACAACATGCTAGCAACGTGCTAAATCATGCTAACAACATGTTAAAGCATGCTAATCATGTTAAAACATGGTATCAACAAGCTAAAACATGTTAAAATGTTAAAATATACTAGCAACATGATAAATCATGTTAAAACATGCTAGCATAATGCTAAAACAAGCATTTTTTTGCAACAAGCTAAAACATGTTACAACATTCTAGCAATGTGTTAAATCATGCTAGCAACATGTTAAAGCATGCTAATCATGTTATCAACAAGCTAAAACATGTTAAAACATTCTAGCAATGTGCTAAATCATGTTAGCAACATGTTAAAGCATGTTAGTCATGTTATCAACAAGCTAAAACATGTTAACATGTTAAAATATACTAGCAACATGCTAAATCATGTTAAAACATGTTAAAACATGCTAGCATAATGTTAAAACAAGCATTTTTTTGCAACATGCTAACAACATGTTAAAGCATGTTAAAGCATGCTAATCATGTTAAAACATGTTAGCAACAAGCTAAAATGTTAAAATATACTAGCAACATGCTAAATCATGTTAAAACATGCTAGCATTGTTAAAACAAACTTTTTTTAGCAACAAGCTAAAACATGTTAACATGTTACAACATGCTAGCAACATGCTAAAACATGTTAAAAATAAATCATGTTAAAACATGCTAGCATAATGCTGAAACAAGCATGTTTTTGCAACAAGCTAAATCATGTTAAAAACATGTTAAAACATGCTAGCATAATGTTAAAACAAGCATTTTTAGCAACAAGCTAAAACATGTTAACATGTTACAACATGCTAGCAAAATGCTAAAACATGTTAGCGAAATGTTAAATCATGGTAGCAAATTGCTAAAAGTACTAGCAATGTGTTAATACATGGTAGCAACATGCTAGAACTGTGTTAATAATGTTTTATTGTCTTCAATAAAAATCTTTAAAATTTCAAACAATGCTGTCAAGCCAACATCAATGTTTGTTTACGAACTTTACTAATGTAATTGTGCTGTTTCTCTTCGTTTGTCTCAGGTGGGGTGTGCGATCGTGGCCGGTCTGCTTCACTTCTTCTTCTTGTCTGCGTTCTGCTGGATGCTGCTGGAGGGGGTTCAGCTCTATCGGATGGTTGTGCTGGTGTTTCACACCACATTAAAGCATCTCTACATGTATCTGGTGGGATACGGAGTCCCTCTCGTCATCGTCACCGTCTCTGCCATCGCCTTCCCAGCGGGATACGGCACCGAGCGACAGTGAGTGTGTGTGAATTTGCGTGAAGCGCTGTTCGTGTGAACAAGTTTGACAGGCTCTAAATCAGTGTTATCCAAGTGCTTTCCAGCTGTTTTTATGATTATTTTGTGTCTGTGCTCCAGCTGTTGGCTCTCACTTGACCAAAATTTCATATGGAGCTTCCTCGCGCCCATCTGCATCATTGTCATCCTCAACAGCTTTGTCTTCATCATCACCGTGTGGAAACTGGCCGAAAAATTCTCCAGCCTCAATCCAGACCTCTCCAAACTCCGCAACATCAGGTGAGTGTTAATTATCGGAGCCCAAAATAGATTCAGTCATCGAGTCTAACCCATTTCTGGTGACTTTCAGGGGTTTTACGGTGACCGCTGTGGCTCAGTTCTGTATTCTTGGAGGGATGTGGGTTTTCGGTTCCTTCCTCTTCTACGAGAAAGTAACTCAGGTTGCGTTGTACCTCTTCACCATCCTCAACAGCCTGCAGGGGGCGCTCATCTTCATCATGCACTGCCTGCTGTCCAAACCGGTGCTTACACACAAACAAATGCACAATGCACCAAAAAGGAAAAGACAGTAAAGTCTGGATTCAAACTACATTTCAAAGATCTCAACTCATAGTCAGACAGATTTCTGACTCCCTGCATAAAGCATTTCACTGTATTCTGGCCAAGAGCCATCAGTGTTTTCAACGTGTTTTGTGTCGCCCCCTTCAGGTCAGAGAGGAGTATTGCACGCTGATTAGCAGGATCTGCTCACTTAAGGAGAAGAAATATTCAGAATTCAGCACCAATCAGTCCAGCAACAGTCAGGTAAATCTGCATTGCAAGGACATAATTGTTGAATATGTTAACTTTCACTTCAACGTTTTATAAAGTATATATAAATGTTAAGATAAACATTCTAACAACATTCTCAGAATGTCCATATGATGTTATTGATGTTTTCTGAATGCCAACGCTAATGTTCTTGGAATATTACAAATAAATGTTCAAAGAATGTCAGGTTAAAGGTTAGGAGAATGCTGCATTGCACCTTTTTAAATAATGTTCTAATCACAACAAGAAAACTGGACATTTTAACGTTTTAGAAACATTGCAAATCAGTGTTCCCGTGAACATAAATTTGTTAGCTGGGGTAAGTGATGCATTGAAATGTTGACCACTAAAGATAATTAGTGCTTCTGGTGGTGTTTTGACCGTTTCAGTGTCTATTTCATGTCACAACTTGGATAAACTATAACAGGTAAACATGTCAGCTAATGCTAGATTAGCAATATCAAGTTCTCGTTTTCAATCAGTAATGGTATCGTTTCTTAAATCTTCAGAACAAACTTGGAGTCTATGCTGTTTTCTGTTGATACAAGCTTTTTTAATACGAAACAAAGTCTCGGTTGCCAAATTTTGTTAGTTTATCACAAAATTCTGAAATAAATACAGTTTTAATGCTCTTCAATGTGACAGATCGCTGTAGTGTCTCAGTTCAAGCGGCATGTAAATCGATCATCTCTTCCTCTTTACAACTAGTTACAACACAAAATAAACATGAATGAGCATCAGGTGCTGAAAGAAACAGAACAACTTAATGAAATGTTTCATGTCTCACTCAATGAGTGTTTCGACCACAGAAAGATGTCGATAAAACAGCTTGTAAACAATGTAATGTCACATTGATTTACCTCAGAAAAGCCACTCAATGTACATTAACTCGTTAGACAGCTAGAAAAACATAACTCTAGAGGAGACTTTTGATAAATACATTTATCAATATATATTTTACTTCACCTGTTAGTGATGTATTTATTATTTAATGTATGTTTGAATAATTATATTTGTTGCTTCAATGATGCAGAGTAGAAACATAATGATTAAAAAGTACTATATAAAAACTGGCTTATGTGCAATTTTAAAGTTTGTGATTGTTTTGGCTAAATAACAACTAATTTCAGTGCATCACTAGATTGAGGTTCTGCTTCTAACTGTGTCCTCTGACCTTTACAGCAACCTCTACGGAGCAATCCGACCACAGGAGAGTCAAGATATAGAGCGGCTGTCAGTCCTGGAGGATCTTTATAGATGTTGACCTTTAAAGACACATGGAAGCGTGACTTCTCACAGAGCTCTAATTCTGCAGCACATGGGGCTCCTTTCCACTGAGAAGATCTTAAACTGCTTGCTTTCTGTCTATTAAGCAAGAATATTTCAGGTGTGGGGCTCGTCACATGACCTATGCGTCACTAGAGGCGGATTCGAATCATATCAGCGAAATTAATAAAACATGCAGCTCAGTTTTCTTCCTCTAATGGACTTCGAAGACACTTTAACTGTTTTTGTCGCACCTTTAGTGAAGAACATCTTACATTACATGCAAAAGGCAGCTTTCATTTGCTTATATAAGAAAATGTTGTGAAGATGATATTTGAAGAACTAGTCTCCAATCTGCCTTATGAAAGAGGCCTTAATCTATTATCAATCACAGACCATCACGTTTATATGATCTGCACTTACATGCCACTTTACGTCTTTAAGCTGTTGGGAAACTTGACCTCTATTTCTGTGAGAAACAGATGAGAGGTACTTTAGATTCATAAAGCTATTTAAACAGAGCCGATGTTGCATTGCAGTAAGACTGCTTACTTTACCTCCAATCATCCTTCAAATCAAAGTAATACTAGTCCCGAAACTACAATATCGTGGAGACGTCTGATGTTTCCAAGGAACTTTCTCAGAAGCTGCAAATAAAAGCGGTAAAGTAGACTTTTATATTCAACTTCCTTCTAAAGCCCAGTTCTAAAGCTGCAGCTTGAATTTTCCCATTAATTAGTTGGTCCACAAGGTGGCAACACTGGGTGGGGCCACTGTTTCACATTGGAAAAATATTTTTTATCCGTCATCTGGAAAAAAATAGGGTTGACAGCACAAAGATGAGGTCGGCTGCCTGTGCTCACACACGTTATCATTCGCGGCAAAACTAACGCATACTTTGGACTTCAGTGTTTCCAGTTTGAGAACAAAGTGATTTTGTAAGATGATACAGCCAATGCGAAAGTTTTAAACTCCTTGCTTCTGCAACACAAAAGTTTAAGCTCTCTATTGTATGTGTAATGATATTTGATAAGAAACAAATGCTTTATTTGACATTTTCCAGAACATTTTTTGTATCTTTTGAATTCAAAAGTTTTTTGCTGTTATTTTTTTTACTTGAAATAATGGTCATGTCTAGCCCTGATGTGGTACTGCGATGTTTTTCAGCAAGTATTAAATAATTGCTAAAAGAAGCTGTGGCGGATTTCTGTTTTGTGTTCCCATGAGTGGCCTTGCCAAATACACCATAAACATACACTTCACTTCTATATCATACATCGATCTGCACATTAAAGTAGTTTGAAGGAAGAACACCTGCCACAAAAACACTTTTCTATCCAGAGGATTCATTTCAACCCAGTGAATATATTCCCTTGCATGGCAGCACAGCGGTTATTGCATCTTCCCTTGCATGGCGGTTATTGCATGGCTAATAACATTCAGAGAAAAGCTCTCTCTTGATTAAATGAACTTATTCCAAGGAAAGCCAACCAAGCAAATGTTCGCTTAATGTTAGCATTCGGTTCCCGTTTGAGAACCCAATAATAACATTCTTATTTTTTTCCAAAACCATCAAATATTGTTCCCAGAACGGTGCAGGTATTTATTTATTTTTTTGAAGAATCTTTCCCCGATGGTTACTTAAAGGTTTAATTTTTAAAATCATGTAAACTCAACTTGCAAAAAAAAGTTGCTGATGTTTTGTGCAACAACCTACAGAGAATAGCAAGGTTATGCAGTGTTTTATCTTTACACTGGAATACTTAATTCAGTTTCTCTAGTATTTCTTGCCGTAGTCTTCAATAAGCTTGAGACCTTTTATTTAGTTAGTAAAGGTCTAGTATTAGTTAATAGATTGCTATGACGATTTTGCTTGTATTTTTGTGTGTATTCTGGTGGGTCTGAAAACTCTTTAAATAAGCACAGGTACGGTTTCTCTCTGGGGTGAATCCCATCATGATATTTCATGTGGGTTGGAAGATGGATTTGTTTGCACTGCTCTGGTTAATCATCAGCGGTAGGAAAGCTGCTGCCGCGTGTCTCGCGACTCAAGTCTTTCTGCTCTTTTTTTCTTTCGAAGTTTCTTCACGGGACAAATGTTTTCCCACAGGTGGCTCTGTGGCTGCCGAGAGAACAGGGACACACACTGAGGGAAGTAACAGTCATTTCTAGCCCTGATGTTTCAGGATGAGCTGAATGAGTCTTTTTTCCAGATTGACTGATGTAAGTCACTCTGATGATTCTGGAGCAGTTTCTTCTTTAGCGTGTTTGTTCTGATGGGTCTGAAAGCTACCCAAATAAGCAAATCTCTCGCCGCAGATGGAGCAGCAGTAAGGTTTCTCTCCTGTATGAACTCGCTGATGGACCTTCAGGACGTCTGATCGAGCAAACGTCTTGTCACACTGTGAGCATTTGAACGGTCTTTCTCCGGTATGAATCCTCTTGTGGCTTTGTAAAGTATCAAACTTACTGAACCTCTTCTCACAAACGCTGCAGTGATACGGTTTTTCTCCCGTGTGGACTCTCTTATGAAATCCAAAATGTGTCGGATTGGAAAAGCTCTTCCCGCAGTGGGAGCACAGATACGGTTTCTCTCCGGTGTGAATCCTCTCGTGACACTTCAGATAGGATTTCTGCCGGAAGCGTTTGTCACAGTGTTTGCACTGATACGGTTTCTCATCAGAGTGGATTCTCTGGTGTGACTTTAGACTGCCTGACTCTATGAAGGTTTTCCCACATTCGCTGCACTGGTACGGTCTCTCATTGGTGTGAACACGCACATGTTTCTTCAGATGAGATCCGTGGTTGTAGGTCTTCTCGCAGTGAGGGCACTTGTACGGTCTTTCTCCCGTGTGGATTCGCTTATGAGCATCCAGATTTGCTTTGGTGCTGAAATACTTTTCACATTCGCTGCACTGGAAAGACTTTTCGTCGTGTGTCTTTATATGAGCTTTCATATTCTGAGCAGTGGTGAAAAAATCCTTCCCGCACTGTTCACAGCGAAACTCCTTCTTCACCCTGTGCTCTTTTGAATGAAGTTTCCTCTCTTCTGCGGTTGAAAAGCTGATGTCGCATCTCTTGCAGCTGAAGTCTTTCTGTTCTGTGTGTTTTCTCTGGTATCTCGTTAAGTTTCTCTTTGAGCTCAGTGTTTTTCCACACTTGGCATGAGAAAAACTTTTGACCTTCAGCTGCTCTTTTGATGTTAAGGCTGTTTCTCCATCAGAAGATGAACCGCCTTTGTCATCTGAAATGAACAAAATGTTTATAAATTCTGGGTTTTAAAATATACTTGAAAAGAGTTTGTGTGTCATACAGAAATCCTGTAATATCTGTCTATATAAGTCTAGAGGTGAATCATTAATAAAAAAAAAAATGCAATATGGTTTAGTGTAGTTAATCAATCGCAAAAAGCCTGCAAGTTAATTAAACTCATGCACAGACATTGATAAAGTGAATTTGAAAATTGAACATTCACCACCCATTTACATTTAGTCATTTAGCAGACACTTTTATCCAAAGCCACTTACAAATGAGGACAATAGCAGCAATCAAAACTAACAAAAGAGCAACAATATGTAAGTGCAAATGACAAGTCTCGGTTAGCTTAACACAGTACACGTAGCAAGGTATTTCTTATATATATATATACATATATATACATATATATACATACATATACATATATATACATACATATACACACACACACACACACACACACACAAAGAAAAACAAGTAGATAGAACAGAAAAAAATAGAAAGCTAGTGTTACTTTTTTTTATAAATAGATATAATCTATTTATAAGTATAAATAGATAAAGCAGAATTAAAATAGAATAGAAAGTGCTAGAGTTAGAGGGTCAAATAAAGATGGAACAGGTGTATTTTTAGCCGATTCTTGAAGATGGCTAAGGACTCAGCTGCTCGGATTGAGTTGTGCAGGTCATTCCACCAGGAGGGAACAGTTAATGTGAAAGTGCGTGAAAGTGATTTTGAGCCTCTTTGAGATGGCACAAAAAAGCGTCGTTCAGGACAGGCTTCTAGAGGGCACATTACTCTGATTGAAGTAATGAATTTAGGTAAAGGGGTGCAGAGCCAGCGGTGGTTTTGTAGGCAAACATTATTGCTTTGAATTTTATGCGAGCAGCTACTGGTAGCCAGTGCAAACTGATAAACAGAGGTGTGACGTGCGTTCTTTTTGGCTCATTAAAAATCAATCTTGCAGCAGCATTTTGGATTAACTGTAAAGGTTTGATAGAATTGGTTGGAAGACCTGCCAAGAGAGCATTGCAATAGTCCAGCCTGGACTGGCGTGCAGTTCCTGAGATGCCCTTTGCTAATAGGGTTTACAAGAGAATCTGGTGGTTCACCGTATCAAAAGTAGCGGACAGATCCAGCAAGATAAGTATTTAAGATTTGGAAGCCGCTCTTGCCAGTCTTAGGGCTTCAACAACTGAGAGCAAGGCAGTCTCGGTTGAATGTCCACT